AGGATGATCGGAGATAACAGAGCGTCTAGTGAAAGTAATTTGATGAGTTTTGGTACTTGAAAATTTAAACCCATGCGTGGTGGCCCAAGTGGAAACACGGTCGACCGCATGCTGGAGAGAAACTGCAATAAGATGACAGTCGCGCCTGCACAAGCAATAGCGAAGTCATCAACATAGAGTGATGACCAAATATTGGGTGGAAGAACAGAGGCAAATCATTTATAGAAGGAGAAAAAGTGTTGTGCTTAGAACACATCCCTGAGGGACACCTTCAGCTTGGACGAAGTCCGGGGAAAGAACATTATTGACTCGAACACGGAAATGTCTGTCAGTTAAAAAGTTCTTAAGGAAGGATGGTAGATTGCCTCGAAGGCCTAAGGAATGGGCCTGGGCCAAAATATTATACCTCCAAGTTGTGTCATATGCCTTCTCAAGGTCAAAAAATATGGCAATAACTGAGTGATTATTCGCAAAGGCATTACAAACATACGTATCCAAGCGTAGTAAGGGGTCTATGGTAGAACGACCCTTACGAAAGCCATATTGACTAGCGGAGAGACTGTTGTGTGTCTCTAAATACCACATTAAACATCGATTTACAAGACGTTCCATCACTTTGCAAACTGCACTAGTAAGAGCGATGGGACGATAGTGGGAGGCATCATGTCCTGTAGTACCCGGTTTGCGGAAAGGGAGAACAATGGCAGATTTCCACAGCTGGGGAAGAACTCCTTGTGCCCAAATAAGATTGAAGAGGTGTAAGAGGACTACAAGGGCTGACCGATGTAAATGTTGTAACATATCGAATATGAAATGTCGTCAGGCCCAGCTGCCGATGATCGGCAGGCTGAGAGCGTTGCCTCCAGTTCTTGAAGTGTAAAACGCACATTATACTGTTCTTCTCTGAGAGAAGAAAAGTCCAAGGGTACTAACTCTCTGGCAGACTTTGAGGAAAGAAACGAGGGGCATAGATGGAGGCCCTCGGGAAATACGGACCAGATGTGTGCCAAGTTCAATGGCAACGTCGAGAGGGTTTGCTACATCAACACCAGCGACCCGTAGAACAGGAGCCGGGTCAGGAGAGTATTTACCACTCAATTTCCTCACTTTTTTCCAGACTGCACTCATAGAAGAAGCAGACGTGATGGTGGAAACATAGTCTCGCCAACAAGTGCGTTTAGCTTCACGGATGACACGGCGAGCGATCGCACGTTTCTGCTTAAAATCAAGAAGTCTCTCAGTGGTTCTATTGTACCGGTACCTGCCCCATGCAGCGCGTTTCAAACGTACTGCACGAGCACAAGCAGGAGACCACCAAGGCACGCACTTCTGAGAATGCCTGCCTGAGGTTTGGGGTATAGAATGAGAAGCTGCGGTATAAATTGACGTCAAGATGTGTAGGAGCTCATCAATGGAGGATGAAGAAGTAACCTCACTAAAAGCAGTGAGGTGTGAGTAAAGATCCCAATTTGCCTGATCAAATTGCCAGCGAGGGCTACGGAAAGGTGGTGAATAGGAAGGAGAAGTAAGAATGATCGGAAAATGATCGCTGTCATGTAAGTCCGGTAGAACAGACCAGGTGAAGTCTAGTGCAGTGGAGGAAGAGCAGCAGTGGAGGAAGAGCAGACTGATAGATCGATGCAAGAGAGAGTATGAGTACGAGGATCAAAATGGGTGGGAGTACCCGTATTTAAAACATGGAGGGGGGTGAGAGGCGAGAAAAGCCTCCAACTGGATGCCACGTGAGTCACAATGAGACCCCCCCCCAGAGGAAATGGTGGGCATTAAAATCACCAAGTAACAGAAGTGGTGGTGGTAAGGATGAAACAAGAAAGGCAAAGTCTGGGATAGAAAATGCTCGAGAAGGAGAGAGATATAAAGAACATATTGTAAACCACTTATTCAAGTGTGGATACGGGCTGCAGTGTAATGCAGCGAGGTATGGACAAATAGTTGACCGTACGGAATATCATTGCGTAGAAGAAGGGCACTTTCATTAAAGGTCCCATCTGAGAAAGGATCCGAAGAATACAATAAATTATAGCCCGAGATAGGTTGGAAAACAGCCGAGTGTAATTTTGGTTCTTGTAAGCAAGCACCAACAGGGGAAAACCGGGAAAGCAACATCTGAAGCTCACCCCGATTACCCCTGAGGCCGCAGATATTCCACTGTAAATAGGCCATGAAGAAAATACCAGGAATCTGTAGGTAAAGGCACATACGGACTAGAGGGGTTAGAAAAGTCAACGTGTGGTGGCATTGGAAGACGTTCAAGTAGCGAAGGAACGGAGCGTTGCAAAGAATGGGGTTGTGAAGAGAAGGAACAGGAAGTGAATATTCTGAAATGGCTTCAAGTGTTTCTGAATTCAAAGATGTATGGGAGACCATATTGGAGATAGAAGGAGGAGGGTGAGTAAAGATTGGGACAGTAATGGACTGTACCAAAGTAGAGGGGGAGGGAAGAGTGTAAGGGACTGGAGATGAAGTGTGGGGGGGGACAGAGAGGCAGAAACCTGGGAGGTGGCAGAAGAGGGAGAAACTTGGGAGGGGACGGGGGTGGAAGGCATAGTACGAGCAGGAGGGCGAATCTCCACACTTGTAATAGAGCCAGAGAGAGGGGAAGAACTAGGTACAGAGACTGGAAAGGTAAAGTGTGGAGGTGAAAGAAGGGGCAAAGAAGATTTGAGCAATGTGGATTTTTTGGACTTCTGAGAAGTAGAGGGGCGATTGGTATTAGGTGTCGTACGAGGTCTTGTCGATACTGGGGCTTGTGAGGAAGGACGCGAAGATGTGAGAACAGACTGAGTTGTAGTCGGGACGTCAGAGCCAAGGACAGCAAAAGGATTAGATGCCGGAGTGGCTATGGGAGGGGTAACAACAGAGGAGGCTGCAGAAGATGGGACCCCAGAAGTGGGGGGATGTTTGGAAACACGAGAATAAGAAACACGGGGTAGTCTCCCTTGGAGGTGGAGATGAGTAACTGCCATAGCATAAGGGAGACCTTGCCTCTTTGAGGCAACGGATTTCACGTTCATTTAAGTAGACCTGGCAACAGCGGGAGTACGAAGGGTGAGCTTCATTACAATTAAGGCAAGATGGAGGTTGACTGCAAGATGTATTAGAATGGTCGTCGGCACCACAGACTGGGCATTCGGCCATAGATCTGCAATATTTCGCTGGGTGACCAAAACGCCAGCAATTTCTACATTGTTGCGGTGTAGGTATCACCTTTCGAACTTGTAAACCGATGTCCTGCGACATATACAGAGGACGGGAGTTCTCGGCTGTCAAAAAGTTAAACGAGCCACATTGCAAGGGTAACGTCTCCGCCCCCGGGCAGGAAGGACGTAAGTGTCTACTTTGAGGATTGGGAGATCCTGGAGTTCGAGCTGTTCAAAAATGTCATTGCCACATGACTGGAAATTCTGTTGGACTATGGTATGGGGCAGAATGACAGTACCACTACAAGAATTGAGAGAATGATGTTTTCAATAGTGATAGGAGTAGTATCGATATTCGAAAGGAGAGAAAGATCATGAGCTTGGGTAGCATTCTGGACAGTGACGATGCGCGTACCGCTCTTGAGAGCATGAAATGAAATATCTCTACCAACATGACGCAGGAGCGCTTTGCCAATACTATGGTCAGAAAGGTAGGCAGAAGAAGAAGTCGGTTCTTAAAGTAAAGAATTTAGTCCATTGTGTGGTCCGAAACGAGCGTGGAGAGGGAGTGCTTGACGTGTCGGTCTTTTCGAGTAGAATGGGAAGGTAATGAGGGAGCATCATCAGGAGATGACGTTGGCGTTTAGGAGTAGGACGGAGTTGGTCCGGCGTGAAATGGGCGGGGCGATTCGAAAATTGCCGTACCGTAGAGGGAGAAGCCGGAAGCATAGTCAAAGGAGAGCGGAGTTCAGACAAATCGAAGGAGTCAGTCGAAGCCCTGGTACCTGAAGCGGGTGAGGAAACAGCACCAGCAAGAGGTACAGGGGCATCGGAGTGTCCGAAGAGTGGTCTAAACACAAGGCAGGGTCAGAATGGGGTGCAGTATCAAGAAGGGGCCTGGGGGTAGTGGGTTCATGGATTGGGTTCTCCATGGTTAGGTTACTCCTTTGCTTTTTGTTTTTAAGAAAAAAATAGAAAGAAGAAAATAAAAATAAAAATAAAAAAGAAAAAAAAGGGGGAACGGGGAGGAATAGTTCCAGGAGGAATGAAAGGGCCGGAAATCTCCCTCCGCGCCCAAAAGGACCTCAGCACCGCTAGTAGCGCAGATGCAGCATGGAACCCGTGCCATACCCTACCTTCATGCCAGTAAAACCAGCAATCGGGATGCAGCCTCACATCTGCCGAGTTTACCTCGGTGGACAAAAGAGAGGGCGGCTGGATATCCGCCACAAAGCAAACCTCCTTCGGCCACCACCCCCGGAAATCCGAAGGTGGCTTCCAGAGATACATCCGTCGCCTGAAAGACACCCAAAGCTACTCCGGGATACCGGAGAGGGATTGGGACACCCCCAGCAATCCAGATTCCACGGCAAACTAGCCACCCCCAAAGAACCTCAACGGAATGGGATGGACCCCGGGTGTCCTTTCCCCTACCTAGGAACTAGCGCGCCTGTGGGAGAAATCCCAAAGGCCAAAAAGAGGAAGGGCAAAAGGGAGGGGTGGGGAGGAGGAGGAGGAATGGAAAAAGGGGAGGATGGGAGAGGGGAGGGGAGAATGGGGGGTAATTAGGTTCGGTCTGAGGAAGAAGACCGACAGGGCTAATTCCTCAGACCAAGAGCCTCTTCACCACGCCAAGGAGCCCCCCTTGAAGAGGACAGGTGGCCAAGATCACATTTTTGGCCTTGTTTACATCACATATGTCAATGAACTCAAATTAAATAGTAATAAACAACTGTCGATGAATAAACAAAAGGTGGACGAGGGGCTCAGGCTATGGTTTGAGCTCCTCATCTGCCTTTGTTTATTCACACATATATAAATGTTTTGTGTTTCTTTTAGCATGCTTGCTGTGGTACAGACAACTACACGGATTGGAAGGAAACGCGCTTTGGAGAACACATTAATGGAGTTCCTGAAGCCTGCTGCATTCAAAACACTGATAATTGTGGAAATGGCGTGTTTAGCAAACCACCTTCAGAGGTTAGTCGAGTTAAATGAAATTTCATCCTGTGTATTAGATGTTGCATTTGAAGGTGATGTATGGTGTGTATACAGGAGGGCCCTGTTTCTACAGCTGTTATGGTCCCATCCCTGACAAATGAAAATTGCCAGTGGGTGGGAAAAAAAAAAAAAAAAAATTCAATATCGAATGCGTCTAAAATGCCTGATAACATGTTTAAATTATCATGTATTAAGTACTCGATACAGCTTTGCCTAAAAAAGACACAAAAGTGGCTCTTGTTGCCCTTCCCTTACACAACTGTTGTGTGAAGATGGTGGAAAAGCAGAAGCACTGAATAATGGCTCAGTTAAAAAAAAAAAAAAACATGGAACACCAAAAAGAGGATGCCAAATATGCAGAGCCTTCCTATATTGTGCCGAGAATTCAGAGTGTGCAGGTTAGAAGACATGGGGTTACCAAAGTGTAAGTCTGAGACCATATGAGTTGAGATGGTTTGGTCACTTAGAGATGCAGCAAAATAGGATGACTAGGTATATACATCTGAGGTAGAGGGGGTCATCACAGGAAGGGTATGAAGTAAATATACATATTTGGGAGTGGATTTGTTGGCAGGTGGGCCTATGAAAATGAGGTGAGCCATAGAATTGATGAGGGAGGATAAAGAGGAGTGGTGTATTGAGGCATCAGTGGCAACAAAGAACTTAAACCATGAGGGTAGAAAGGGAACTGTACCTGAATATAGCAATATTAACATTTTTATATGGTTGTGAAGTATAGATTTTTAATGTTACAGTGAGGAGGAGGTTGGTGGCAGTGTTTGAAGACAATGTATAGTGTGAATATTATGCAGAGAATTCAAAGCTTGGAGATCAGAAGATGTGGGGTTGTTAAAAGCATTATTCAGAAGACTGAGGAGGGGTTATTGAGGTGACTGAGCATTTAGAGAGGATGACTTAGGTGGGGGTATTATTCTGGGGCAGAAGGTAGTAGAAAGTCATCCCAGAACAGGTTGGAGAAGGAGGATGAAAAAAGGCTTTAAGTAATAGGGGCTTGAACATCCATTAGATAAGAGTAGAAGTGAATGGTTTTTTTTACAACTTCATTGCTATTCGAGTGCTAGTAAGGTAACAGCTATGAAGGGATTCCTGGGAAACTGGTTAGCCAGACTAGAGTCCTGGAGGTGGGAAATGCAGCGATACCAGTATGCTTCTGGCAAGATAGTGATTGAGTGATGGTGAAAAAGCATTTCTTCTCTCAGGTCACCCTATCTAGCTTCATGCAGTAATTACATTCCAGGTTGACAGCAGCATAAGCTAAACCAGGCTATCAGTACTTAATTCCACATAGTAAAAACCTTCAGTAGGTTTTGCAAACCACAGTTTAGTATGTACCCCATACCCATCCTGTGGGCAGTAGTCAAAAGATTACAGAGGTACATAATATGTCCAGGGACTGGGCTCCAAAGTTTTGATAGCTGAGCAAGTTACAAAGGTAATGAAGTCCAGGTAGATCTGGTCACAGTCATGACAAGTTACAAAGGTATTTACAGATTACAGAGGTACATAATGGGTCCAGGGACTGGGCCGCCCAAAGTTTTGATAGCTGAACTAGGTACAAGGGTAATGTCCATTACATGTATGGAATGACAGATAGAATTAGGACATTGTATGATTGCAAATTTGCTTAAAAAAAAAAAATTATGTATAGTAGTCTTCCCATACCTGTGGGTGATGTGCTCCAAGACCTGCCATGGATGCTTGAAACCTCGAATAGAAGTGAACCCTATATACAGGTTGTTCTTCATTTACATGTACATACATACCTATGATAAAGTTTAATTGATAAATTACACACAGTAAGGCTTTGAAGAACTGCAAGCATCACTACTTTTGTGCTTTGCAGCCATTATTATTAAGGGTTACTTTCACAACAACACTGCAACAAATGCGGACAGCGAAAATGGTAGAGGCTAACTGGATGCGAGTAAAGTGGGCCAGCTAAGGTACAGAGGACAAAGAGATGTGTACCAAGACAGGAAGGTTTCACTGCGTTACTCAGAAAGGCGTTCAGTTTGAAACTTATGAATCATTTATTTCTGAATAATATCCCATTCAATATTTTTGGGCCGTGGTAAACCATGGATAACTACGGAAACCAAATTTGCGGATATGGGTATGTATTTTAATTTTTTTTTTTTTCAACAAGTCGGTCGTCTCCCACAGAGGCAGGGTGACCCAAAAAAGAAAGAAAATCCCCAAAAAGAAAATACTTTCATCATCATTCAACACTTTCACCACACTCACACATTATCACTGCTTTTGCAGAGGTGCTCAGAATACAACAGTTTAGAAGCATATACGTATAAAGATACACAACATATCCCTCCAAACTGCCAATATCCCAAACCCCTCCTTTAAAGTACAGGCATTGTACTTCCCATTTCCAGGACTCAAGTCCGACTATATGAAAATACACTAACCGGTTTCCCTGAATCCCTTCACTAAATATTACCCTGCTCACACTCCAACAGATCATCAGGTCCCAAGTATCATTCGTCTCCATTCACTCCTATCTAACACGCTCATGCACGCGTATTTTAAATATAACCAGTATATTTTATGGATCACCTGAAGATCCACCCCATAAGTAAAACGGTTAAATTAATATTATTCAAACACATTATTAAAGTAGAACCTCGGCTTTTGTATGCCCTAGTTTGTATGTAAAACTATAGTTATTCTCTATGAAATGTACATTTATAGAGAGTATAGTTTTACATACAAACTAGGGTATATGAAAAGAGAGGTTACACTTTATTTGGGGGAAACTGCTAAATCAATAGAGATCATATAACACCTGGGAAATGGAAGCTAATCAGGTTCAGTTCAAAGGAGGAGTCATCAGGTTCAATTAATTTAATCAAAATGAAATATTATTTCAACCATGAGGAAAAGGGTCAACACAGTGTCTAGGGAAATGGGAGACATTCAGGGTCTATCAATGGACAGGAAAGTCACTCGTGTCTGGAATCAAGAGGTATATAGTTTACCAGTATATCATACAATAGGAATTTATAATTAATGATATACACTATCACAGTTTTTTTTTAACATTCCTGTATACAGTGAGAATTATAAAATTAAATATTAATTCTATGTTAAGTCTCTTATCTTGTGCATACTTGTGAAAAAATTGTTAAGATCCTCTCTAATTTTATGGTGTCCTGTGGCTAAAGCTCTCGCTTTACATGGTGAGGGTCTGTGGTTCGATTCCTGGCGAGGGTAGAAACATTGGACATGTTTCCTTACACTGGTTGTCTATGTTCCCCATCAGTAAAATGGGTACCTGGGTGTGGGTCACATCCTGGGATAAAACTGACCTAATTTGCCTGAAATGCTCTGCACAACAAGCATCTTTCTATATAATAGTATGTCATTGATGTCAGCTAGGCCTGTATACCTTGTACTTGTAGGAATGAAGATGATATTATTCTCTTGAATAGACTGATAGAACAATTAGTATTTACCTCATAGGTCAATTAAAAGTGATTATGTTAACTCATAAAAATGTAATTACCAGTACCCAGTATGAGTAATATAGAAATATATTTTTGTGATTATTGAAGTCTTAACATATCTGACAGTTATGTCAACATAAAAGGTAATTGCAACACAACCTGAGTAAAGAATTGTGTTGTATAATAAGACTTGTTTAAAATTGTTAATATGAGACTATACAAATTTTTTTTTATTTTTGCAGCTTGATTACATCAACAAGGAAGGCTGCTTCGACAAGCTTAAGGGAGATGCTAAAGAAAATGTCACCATCTTGGGAGGGGTGGCCATAGGCATTGGCTTTGTCCAGGTAGGCCTCAAAGATTCAGTTACATTATTTTCTTTGTTAACACATTGGCTGTATCCCACCGAGGCAGGGCAACTTGAAAAAGAAGAAATGCTCATTATCATTCACTCCATCACTGTACCAACACTACAGTTCAAAAACTGCAACGTATCTCCATCCCTCCTTCAGAGTGCAGGCACTGTACTTCCCATCTCCTGGACTCGTCAAGTCTGGCTAACCGGTTTCTCTTCTTAATGTTACTTAGCTCACACTTCAACATCACATCATAAAAGCCATTTGCCTCCACTTGCTCCTGTCTAACATACTCATGCATGCTTGCTGGAAGTTTAAGTCCCTTGCACACACAGTCTCCTTTACACCCCTATCCTGCCTTCCTTCCACTACAGATTTATATGCCCTTCAATTCATTCTTTCAACACACCGGCCGTATCCCACAGAGTCGGGGTGGCCCAAAAGGAAAAACAAAAGTTTCTCCTTTCACATTTAGTAATATATACAGAAGGGGTTACTAGCCCCTTGCTCCCGGCATTTTAGTCGCCTCTTACAGAGGAAGAATTCTGTTCCACTTCCCCATGGAGATAAGAGGAAATAGACAAGAACTAGAAAGAAAATAGAGAAAACCCAGAGGGGTATGTATATATATATATGCATGTGTAGTGTGACCAAGTGTAAGCAGAAGTAGAAAGACATACCTGAAATCTTGTCATGTAAAACAATTACGGCTTCTGTTTTACACTCACTTGGCAGGAGGGGTAGTACCTCCCTGGGCAGTTCCTGTCTACCAACCTACTACCTAGGTTAATTTGTTATACCCTCTCTAAATGTCTAAACCACCTCAACAACCCCTCCTCAGCCTCTGGATAATATTTTTTAGAAACCTGTACCTCCTCCTAATTCCCCCAACTACGTATTCTCTTCATAATATGCACACCACACATTCCCCTCAGAACAAAATCATCTCCACTGAATGTTTGCAACATTCCCCCTTCCCCATGCTTCACCCCACTTTATACACTCATTTTTGTTCCCCTCTCTGTTTTCCATTGATAACATTCTTTGTCTCCATAAACTCCTCAGTTCACCACTCACATTTTTTCCCTCATCAGTTCTCCTGACAAGTCACTCCCAAATGTATGAACACATTCACTGCCTCTGTACTCTTTCCCTCCAATCTGATACCTAATTTTTCCCCTCATCACATTGTTAGAATTCTATGTTCATTTATAATTTCCTTGTAGATACCCTCTCAAATTCGTCCACCAACCTCTTTTCAGAATCTCCCAAAAGCACAATGTCATCAGCAAAAAGCATCTGTGACAACTCTTACTTTGTGTTAAATTCTTATCTTTTAATCTCGCACTTCTTGCCAACACCCGAGTATTAACCCCATCTATAAATATATTGAACAACTATGGTGACATAACACATCCTTGTCTAAGGCCTACTTTTCCTGGGAAATAATCTCCCTCCTACATACTCTAACCTGAGCCTCACTTTCCTCGTAAAAACTGTTTTCAGTAACCTACCACCTATTCCATACACATTATTATAATCAAAAAGAAGCACTAAGCCACAAGGACTTATTCCATACACAGTATTACTATTATTATATACAACACCTGTTTGTTCTATAAATAAGTGTTTTAGCATACTAGTATTACTGTGCTTCTGAAATTTCATACTTTTAATTTAAATGAACAGTATATCTAATTAAATTTCCATTATTTTTCAGCTGATTGGAGTTGCATTTGCTTGCTGCCTGGCCAAGTCCCTGAAACGACAATATGAAACCGTATAACTTCTCGTAATTCCTTCTGCCATTATAAGATGAAATATTCACATACCCGCTCAAACATTTAAATTTGGCTCCTGTTCAACATTTGTAGTTGTTTCACTTAAGAGTCAGAAGTGTTTTAGCAAGACTATTTTATGCATTTGGTTACATCGGCACTGTCATCCTTAATCAGTATTACAAATTTAGCTGCATAAAAATATAAATACTGTATTAGTAATAAATTAATTCAGCATTTTCTAATAACTGAAGAAAGCAAGATGCTAGTCATAATTTACCAACTGATTTAGCATGACATTATTGAATGTCAAAGTTGTTGTACGACTTGAGTGATGACAATGAAATCACTAGTAGCATCGGCAACGTCTACATGTTGATGGCATGGGGCATATTGTGAGAAATGAGAATTGCTTAATTACCTTCTATATTATAAGAATTTTGCAAAGCGCTTGGCTAAAGAAATAACCGAAGACCAAGAATGGAATGACTAATAAAATTGAGATCTTAAAGATAAATTAAGTTTACTTGGTGAGAAGACAATATGCTCAAAACTTTGGTTGTAATTATGAAGGCCAATAGACAACTGAATACATTTCAAGTTCCATCTATACTTTCAATTTCCTAGCAAGTATACCACCTGTGGTCGCGTTTACTACACTGTACGACGACTGTTATCACTTCTAGATCTAAGGTTGCAAAACAATTTTTTTATTAATAACTGATCCACAAGTTAAATAATTGGTTGTCACTCTTCATACACAATGTAACATTGGAAATTTATTAAGGTTTAGTTTTGAGATCATTTTCATTACTGTATTGGAAGAAGACAATGAACTAATTTTTTCTTCACCTGAAATTTCTTGAGTATTTAAAATTTTAGTTGGAAAATCCATCATTGCAGATACACTAAATATTGTATAATCATTCAGTTTTTACGTTAGGAGGACAAGTACCTGTATTGTTTTGATTTCAGAAATTTACTTTTCAATACATTTTGTTTTTTACATACAAACTTTAAGATTAGTGATGTAAAAGAATTATTTTAACTTGTTTCATTCAGTATAATATCAAAATTGGATTAAATTATTTAGGACTCAATATAGAGTACCTTAAAAAAAAAAGAAGTCACTGCAGTTATTATTTTGGTGCAATAATACAATTATTACTTGTGCTTGAACTATTCATGAAATTGTTGTTTATTCAGTAAATATTGTCAGAATTCTTGAAATGATGAGTGGAATTAATTTTCTTGATCAGTCAATGCTTGTGTCATTAATACAACAGAAGTAAATTATGAAAGAATATTGTTATATGTTGAAAGTTCAATAATTATAGATACAATAATAATGCAGTGGTAATAAACAGGGACAATTGTTGAGTGCATCATTGACCAAGATTTTATTTTTAATTAGGTTTTTTGGCTAATGCATACAATTATAATGATGCCATACTAAAGTGAAAATGTTGAAGTTCGATGATTAATAATTTTAAAAGCTTTTTAGATAACGTGAAACAAAC